AGTGAAAAAGTCAATTAACCAAACACCTTAATTAAATGTTTATTTGGTCAAAAAGCCAAAAAGTGGTCAAATCAGTCAAAAATGGCTCATAGGCCATCAACCAAACACCCCCAATAATCATGGGGCATAGACCGCATAGTTAGGGGGTAACCTAGGTCTCAACTCGACCCAGTCCAACCCAACCCAAATGTAAAATGTCTTAAATATTAACATAAAATATTGTGTTAAATTTTAAAAAAAGCTTTGTACCTCTCGAGTTGAGTTTGGACACCTACCTACCCACTAATAAAAAAAAGGCTAAAGGGTGAAATAGGTACATGAACTAACTTAACGTGTTCAATTAGCCCCTTATATAGGAGGTTCTGTTCGGTCATCGCCAATTGGGACGGTTCCCGGTGGATTTTTTTGATGAAATGTTTTTAGCATCTTATTCATTAAGTCTAGTTTACTCATACCAAATTTCAGCTAAAAATTCAATCGGGAAGGTAGTCAAAAGATTTTTTGAAGATAACTGCGCAGTTAAACAGCGCAGTACATTTCGGAAAATCATTTGATTGTCTTCCCGATTTCATTTTTAGCTGAAATTTGATATGGCTAAACTAGACTTAATGAAGAAGATGTTCAAAACATTTTATCAAAAAAATCTATCGGGAACTGCCCCAATTGGCGACGGCCGGACAGAACCTCTTAAATAGGGGGTAATTGAACACTTTAAATTAGTTCATGTACATATTTGACCCTTTAGCCTAAAAAACTAATAACACATGGCTGGTATTCACATTTCTATCGTGCATTGTCACTTTTTATGTACTCTCGTACTACCTCCACCACATTAATATTGGGATAGTCTTAATTAAATGGATAGAGAAAGATAAACAAGAAAAAGTTAGTTGGAGGGGAGTATAATAAAAGGAAGCGTGGCTATTTATAAATTATAATCAACAATTTATACTTAAATTGGACTCGAAATAAGACTCGTGAATTCGTGATATGTGGAACTTAAACCGAATAAGTGAGTCAAAACTATTGAGTATTATTATCCCCACCCCAAGTGGCACTAGTTGGAATACTAATTGACGGCACGTCATTGGTATGAGATACAAGAAGAGGTGGACAATTTTGACTTCATATTGGCATATCCAAATACGAGGTCCATAACATGTTTGCCCTTTTCACGTGGGCATCAAAGGCTTGCGCGATTTGTCCCTTTTTTGCTATCTAATTGAACCAAATTTTTAGAGTATGATCGATAAATGTATAGTTTGTGTGTATTTTGTATGTATTTTACAATTATTGAAATTTAATTTGATTTTATCTATATAAATTTGGTTTATTTAAATCTGGTTGCTTTTACTCTGGTCTATTCTATGACTGAAAATCATCCGAGTGAAACGTCATTAGTCCGTCACTCCGTCTAAAACAGTTCTACCATATACTAAAATTGTGTGTGTTTAGATGGGGCTATTATGACAAGGATGATTTAGGTTGGGGTTCTGATGGGCCCAAGTACAAAGCAGCTCAATTTTGTTTCAAATTTTTAAAGCAACATTTTTCAAATTTTAAAGCATTTTTTTCTTTTTCATATTTAGCTTACTCATATAATGTTTAAGCTTGGTATAATTATTTTTTCAACCTAGTCTAATCCAAGTTTGTGGATCCATCCCAAGACTCCTAATAAACACACTTTTTTTGAGAGAAAATACAACTTAAATCATCGAGTAACTCTACTACTTGTATTAGGGCATCTCCGATGTGGAGATGGGTTGCTATTCCACATAAGACAATATACTCTTTGTTTACAAATGTAGTGGCACTAACCATTGGTGGGAAATGTATACGGATGGAGCATCCAGTGCCAAGGGATGTGGGGGATGAGCAGTCGTCACTTCACCTGAGGGGTGCAAGGCGTACTATTCTATACATTTCAATTTTAAAGTGACTAACAATGAGGTCGAATATGAAGCTCTTATTGCAGGTCTGAAGTATGTCAGAGCTTTGGGTGTCGAACGGGTGAAGGTCCGCTCGGACAGCCAATTGGTGGTAAATCAAGTGAACGGGGTGGCAGAAGCCAAGGAAAGAGGATGAAAGCATACAAGGAGCTGATGGATGGACAAATAAGACTCTCTGAACAAGTTATTCTCGATCATGACTACTGGGTGGAGAATACATAAGCAGACATACTCTCCAAATTGGGAAATAGTGCACTAGATGATCAGACACAGGTGATACCTGCGCACATTCAACGTTTCGCTTGAAGGGAGATTTTGGGGACACCAGCCACTCTGGTCCTCCAGGTGGATGCAGTATCTTTTGCCAAACCAGACTAGGTTACTGAACTAACAGATTACATCAGGGATTGAACTCTCGTGATTACAAACCCGGTCCATACCAATAGATTGAACTTGACCAAGAGGAGGGTCCTGAATTTTGAGTTTGTGGATGGACAACTCTACACAAGAAGACGTTCGGGGGTCCTTATTTGAAGTGGCTCCCGCTCGGTCTAGCAACAACAGTCATGGATGAGATCCATGAAGGGATTTGTTCGAGCCATCAGGGCCCAAAAACATTGGCAAGAAAAATCATTTTACAGGGATATTATTGACCGACCATCCAACAGGATTGCTTTCATCATACCAGGAAATGCAAAATCTGCCAACAATATCCCCAGTGCCCGGACGGCCAGCAAGCTTTTACACACCAATGACCACAACACTGTCGTTCGCTAGGTGGGGGATCGACTTGCTAGGGCCTCTACCTACGGCGTCCGGAGGAAAGAAATACATCATTGTGGGGATATATAGACTATTTGTGCCGAATGCGCCACCCAAGCGCACTATAATCGGTCTTACAAGACAAGTGATTTTTGTGGTGAATACAAATCCCTAGCAATAACCCGCTATTAGCCTTAACAAACGGTGTCTACAACGCTTTACGGAATGTTACTTTGATAAGACATTCAGTTTTCCCATCATTAGGGGGAGAAAATCGAGAATTCTCTGATTGAATGATAGGAATCGTTATGGTACATCCCTACCTTGTCTTAACAATGATTTCCAATCTTCAAATGTAATATTGAAGTAAAGGATTAGAATTGCCATAAGCAATGTAAGTGATCAGATCACATACACTAGCCGTAAATATATCTGTAAGGCTCAAAGTTCAAATTAAAAGATATAATGCTAAAGGAACAAACATTGCAACCACAAACGGTGGGGTTGTGGTTGAGGCTGTGGCTCTCCAAAGGAATAGAGGGAAGCTACAAGGTTCGATTAATTAGACACCCCAAATAGTAAGGTTGAATTAGGCACAAATCAATATATTCGTCATCATATGAATTTCTCTCATGAGATCATCTCTGACTAAACACGTCCATGAATCAATAATGGGGGGACGCCCCGAAGTTTAAATGATTCTAGAGAATTAAAATCTCAATGGTAACGAGAGTTTATTTGAGTCAAATAATAGACCTTACACTTACATTGACGATATATTTATACGGTTACTCGAAGAACATAGAGCATGATGATATCGAACCATACTTTATTGCAATATAAAAGCAAAGTGAATATTGGCCTAAATGTGTACAAGTAATCCAGGTATAAATTTAATATTTGACAAAGAGACGGATGTTTAGGGGGTGTTTGGAAATGATTCTAATTCTGCTTCTTTTTTAAAGCAGAAGCAGAATCAGAATCAGTTTTCAGAAGCTGGTACCCCCAGCTTCTAAAAAAACTGATTCTGAGAGTAAATTAGAGCACCAGAAGTGCTTCTGGAATTTCACTCAAACACTCCAGCTTCTCCTTCTGCTCCCTGAAGGAGCAGAATCAGTTTTGAGAATCAGATCCAAACACCCCCTTAGTATGATAGTTCTAATCAACCAAGTGTAAAGCCTGTAGGGCATAAATTAATTCATTGTGAGAAAGCGTATTGAGATAATAGGTCCTGATTACTCTCACAACACCTTGAATTCAAATATGAAATGTTATATTTCTCTATTCTGAACACAAAAGTGTTCAACTACTTAATCTCTAGGTAGTCTCCAAAGTAATGGAGACGCAACTAAAGATTGTGGTCACCAAATGCCTCAATAGGATCTCATTCAAGAGATGTATTTGAAGCATTTGTTATGATTTTATTATCTCAAATCAAGTGAATCTAAATCACATAGTACAATAGTACAATTATATTGAATTGTTCAATGTTGGATTAAATCAATACCAACAGAAGTGACATACCCTCTAATTAATCACTAGATTGAGAAGGGATAGAAAATGACAGATTATGCCTTACATATTTATAAATGAAGCAAAACTCCAAATTTTCAAGTATCATTGTTTGTCGAAGATAAAGACGTAATACGTACTCATAAGGAAATAGGACGAATCTTCTATACTTGAAAGTCGTAATTGAGATGAATGGTCTCGGGAAACTCGGGCCTGCTTTGAAATTAAACACCTAGTTGGTTGAATACTAATTCACCAGTTGCATATATCCAAAAAGGTTCTCAGGCAAAATTAACATAGATAAATGTAAACTGTCAGCACCCTCATGATCGGTCGAAATATGAACACTAGAAAAGAGGTACCCTTTTTCTCCAGTCAAGGTTATTTTTTCCCACACTTGGCAGAGTTTTGAAGAGACAACAAGATATATCACGTTCTGTCAACAACTCAGCACAAGGGGGAGTGTTGAAGGAAATTATGTATTACGGGCTCATTGGCCGGTCTCCGTAAACTCTTACATCTCCCTATTTTTAGGGCGCATTGGTAATGAAGTTAAACAACAATTATCCCTACAACAAGATCACATTTAAAAACTAAAAACATGAGGATGATGTTTCAGTTTGGATACGAACCGGAGTATTTGTTTAAGAACGATTTGGGAGATAATGATGTTTAAATTATGACGCAATTAATTAAGGAGCAGTAATCCAGCATGTGACGAAGTGACGAGTATTTAAAGGCCCATTTTTAGTTTAGTTAGGAATAACTCTCGTAGTCGCATGTTTTCAGGGAACTAATTCGTAAATAGCCCACCCTATACATACAAAGTGTATATAAATGATGAGCACCGCTGCTTTGCACCTCCCAAGAATTCCCACATACTTCCGGATTTCCAAAGTTGAGCCAGACTCTACCCTCCTCATACTCCATCCTCTCTCTAATCAACCTTCTTCCATCCTTTTGGTTAGTTTTCTTTTCCTTAATTATTCTCTCTTACTATTATGTTATTAGCATTAGAATTAGGATTTCTTCTTCATATGTACTCATGTTCTTATTTATTTCAAACAATTTTGAATTTTGCATTTGTGTGAATGCACACATTTGATTATTACTATATTTGATTAGGATTAGGATGTTTTATTTTGGACTATTTTTTGTCCTAGATCAAACCAGACTTTCATATTTATAAAATACATAGAGATCAATCCAGTTCAGACCAGACTACCAAATTTTGGTCGAAACATTCTTTCATCACCAATTACTCAATTACTCAATTAGTACTGTATAAAATAGTTAATGCAGTGTCGTAGAGTTACAAATTACAAGCAGTGTAAAATAATGACACAGATCCTATTGGGCTATGGCCTATGGGCAACCCAACACTTCAAAACAATAAATCCTATGGAGTATTTTATTTTCTTCTACAACACACAAACATAGCTCGCCGTCTCGCCCATGCTTGCCCTGTGCGGCTGTGCCTAGGTACTTGAATTGAATTGAAATGTGACTTGATCAAGTATAATTTGGTTTGAACGGATTTGATCTCGTATTTTGTTACTCCCTCCGTTTCTTAAACAAGTTGCACATTTGACTTCACACATATTAAGAAAATAAATTTGACTTTACTGTGGAGTGCACTGTTTGAACACTTTTTGGCATTCTTTGGCACTGTTTGAATCTGCCCGAAAAAGAAAGGTGGAACTTGTTTCAGAAAGGGAGGGAGTATATGATTTGCTTTCACCTAACGTAATATGAGACCGAAACCAGTCCGATTAAAAAACATAATTTATTGATTTATGAGAATAGTAATCCGTATAACTTTAAGTACATGCGGAGTATAATATATTCATTGTACGTTGGGTATATAATTATTTCTTGATAAGTAGGTACATTGATTTGAACGCCTACCTAGCGAGACCTACTTTGAAGTTTGAATCCCGCCTCGTGTACACACTCGGTTACATGCCGAGTTACACGCCGATCAAATTGTCTGTATACAGACAATTTGATCGGTTAGACAGACAATTTAACCGACGTTTTATGAAGAAAATCGATTCCCATACAGACAAAATATAAAGAGTTGTCTGTATCACAGACATTTTAAACCTGAATTTTTCATAAAGTGTCTGTGATACAGACATTTTTTTTATTTTTTTCTGTGTGAAAATCGGTTTTCTTCGTAAATCGCCGCTCAATATGTCTGCGTAGTCGATCAAATTGTCTGTGTACAGACAATTTGACAGGCATGTAACCCGGCGTGTAAAACTTGGCGTGTGCAAAAGGAATTTTCCTACTTGTATAATAGGAGTACACGGAATAATAATTAATAGGGAGAATTATTGGTCCTCATCAACAACGACAAGAACAATAACAAAGAACAATAATAATAAGAATAACAATAATTACAATAACAATAATAACAATAACAATAACAATAACAATACTAATAACAATAATAATAACAATAACAATAATAATAACAATAACAATAACAATAACAATAACAATAACAATAACAATAACAATAATAATAATAATAATAATAATAATAATAATACTAATAACAATTAGAACAACGACAACAAGAACAAGAAGAAGAAGATGAAGAACTCAACAACAACAGCTAGGGATGTCAAAAAACCCGGCCCGCAATGACCCGCCCTGACCTGAGACATTTGGGGCGGGTCTGGCCCGCGCCCCGTCTTGCAAATGGGGGGAGTCCGCCCCGCCCCGCCTATACAATGGGGTGGGTCCGAGTATTAGTATTGACTCATGCCGCCCCACCCTGCCCCGACTCGCTCAATATATAAGTATATACATACTTTTTCTTAAATTATACTACAAATGTACTTCAACATACATTTGTGTGTATACAATAAATCATAAATTCTTTGATCTTATAATATATCAATATACGGAGTATATATTAGATTGAGATGAACGACATATTATCAATGTCTTCTTTATATATAGCATTTTAATACATATATTCAAGTATTAATATAATTAAATAGATTAACTACTCAATTCTAAGTGATTTGTCCTTAACTTTTGAAATTTCTAGCGTATCATGTATTTGATTTAATATATTAATTTTTAATAATTATTTAAAGATAAACTTTATGTAGATTCAATTGTTAACAACTTCTCACAAATAAAAATACATACTAGCTAATTAGGTTACGGCGGTGCGGGGCAGACCCGTCCCGTCAAGTCACGGGGCGGGTATGGGTCTTGCAGTATCCGCCCCGACCCATTGCCATGCCAATTAAGTCTTCACACTTTAAAAAATCAATCAAATCCCTAAATTTTGAAAAGACATTTGGCAGGTTACCTGCTAATTGACTCAATGGAACGCTTTTTCAGAGTTTAGAAACTTGATTGATTTTTTTAAAAAATTATGAAGACTTAATATACTTTTTTCGTGACAGTATGTGGACTAAACCGACAGTTTTCCCTAATTAATACTACGTACTACATTTGTCCCATTTTTCCCTAATTACAGTCTAGTCTAGTATTTTCCCATTCTCAAAATCTAGAACTCTCTCGTACCCGTTTCAAACGGTACGATTTCGGTTCGGTCATATCATTTTTTAAGATTTACTATATTATATGGGGTATTAATGAATGAGTAGATTAGGAAAAAAAATATTAAAGGTATTTTGTCCTGTTTTGGTATTTGTTTTAATAATGTTGAAGAGAGTCTTTTGGTTGAAAAGTAAGACTTATATTCAACTCGTATAATAATGTTTGCTTGTTTGTTTGTATAGCTCTTTAAAACAAATTAAAGGGAGTGCCAAATTGAGTCACGCTAGTTGTCGGTTGTCAAAATTGTTTGATACGGAATCGTAATTTAATTCTATATTGTTTCAGATTCTTCATGTACACGTTCTTATACACATTAGTACACCATGTGTCTGTGAGAGTTTTTTTTTTAATTTGTCTGTGAATCTCAGTCCACATACAAAAACTAACTTGTTTTGTCTGTGAAAAATTCTACAGACAAAACAAACATGTTTTTGTCTGTGGACTGAGATTTATAGATAAAAAAAAGCTCTCACAGACACGAGGGTGTACTAATGTGTATAAGAAAGTGTACAAAAGGAATTTTTGATATTGCTTAGGGAGCTGCCAAATTTCAACTAGGAATACTTTTGACTTGAGTTATAAGAGCACTCGTTGAATATTGATTTTGTATTGTATAAACATGTGACCAAATAATGATAATAATTATGGGATATTAATGTTGTCAAACATGTGACCAATAAGACAAGAAGCAGAAGACAACATTTTGTGACAACAAGCAGGAGCGTTACCATTAGTGATTATAATCAAAGTACACATCAAGAAATAGTTATGACGAGAGAAAACAGTGATCAAGTTGTTGGGATTAGTGAGGAGATGATGACGAAGAAGCCGGCGACGGCAGCTACCAGGGACGGTGGTTGGGAGTCAAGATCGGCGGCGCCGATAGTGGCGATGGTTGTCGTACAAGTGATATTCGCAGGGTCACAAATTCTGACCAAATTGGCCATCAATAAAGGAATGCTGGTGTTTGCTATCTTGACTTACCGTCATCTCGTTGCCGCCATTTGCATTGCCCCATTGGCTTTCCTCTTTGACAGGTACGTCTTATCCCCCCACACACTAATGGTCTGTTTGTTTGGGGTTAATCTAAGTTATTGCAAGTTCAATTTTTAGTTAACCAGTTTGTTTGTATTTTTGCAACAAGAATCTAGTTTATGAGTTAGTTAGCCTCATATAACTCCTTGGAAGAACCTAAAATTGTAGATCCTTTGAAGTGGGGGATTTGAAGGTTAAGTTCTCTTATGACATAAAATGAGCTAGAATACCCTAATCCAAATAACACTTATTAGATTAATCAAGGTTCACCTTATTTATTTTCAAACATTATTTTTACGCATGAACTTAGGTTCAATTAGGTTAACCTAGTTTTTATTAAAACTTGAGTTTACTTTATTACACTAGATTTACTTAAGTTCACTTGACCCAAACACAACATATGAATATCTGTTTGGGACTTGGGAGTAATGACTTTGAGGTTTTTATATGTTCTCTGAGGTACAAACTAGTCGAGTTTGAACTTGGTCTAACCATTTGCGCTTGAACTTGATAAAAATGCACTAACTCAAGCTTGACGAGTTTAATAATTTTGAGGCTCGAGCTCGGCTCAAACTTCACTCGTGAATTTTTATAGGTTTGAGTTCAAATAAGATGCTCGAACTCGGGCTCGAATTCAAGTTAAAAACATTCTATATTCAAAATTATTAATATAATATCATATTAATACATGCAAATAAATACACCCTCCGTTTCTGAAACAAGTTTCACCTTTCCTTTTCGGGCAGATTCAAAATTAAGTTCCACTTTCAATCATTTCCTTATTTGGCAAATTATCTACATCAAAACAGTGTCAAACAGTGTCAAACAGTGCCAAACAATGCCAAACAGTGCACTCCACAGTAAAGTCAAATTTATTTTCTTAATATGTGTGAAGTCAAATGTGGAACTTGTTTCAGAAACGGAGGGAGTAATACTAGTACGTTGTATCTAATATGTGTACTTTATGGTTCCCACTTTTATTATTCCTCTCCCCTTCACTCGTACGTAGTATTTTTATTCCTTATTTTACTATCAATTAAATTTGAAATTTACAAATTAATAAACATCAATAAATAAATATAATGTGCATATAAAGTCATATGGCCTATGTTGTTTCAACACACACACACATAAGGAAAAAGATCATGTCCATCCTTCCGGACAGGATGCTCCGTCGGGCCGCTACTGTTTGGAGAAGTTCTCAATAATTAAACTTTTGTGATGATATTTTTTAGTATATTCTTCATGAAGTGTGATAATCTCAAAATTCGTTTATGTCTATCAATCATCATGTTTAAATAATCTATTTTTTCTTTGTCCTGCATTAACCTCTCTTACATATACTTTTCCAATAATCTTAAAATAATTCTGATTCATATTTTGATCCCAGATTATTGTAGCAAATAATCTCATTAAACAATATCTGCCAGTCAATGATAATTCTCTAAGAAAATTATCATGTCACCAATTTAATTAATCTCATAATAATCCTACCAACGAGGATGCCCTTATAATGAAAACGTTTAATCTCCAACTTTCATTTATTGCAATTGTCGATTAACATTCACATGAGGTCATATTCATAATTACCCTAAATTAAAATGAGATTTTTTTGCAATTAACCCTAAATAAACACGAGTCTTTATCTTATATTTATGTTTACCTTTATCTTGTCTCTTTTTATCTTGCCTTATCTTTGTAATATTTCTTTTCTTTTTGGCTCTGATATCATGTAAAGGTAAATGTAGAGATAAATAATATATAAAGATAAAAAAGATAAAGATAAAAAGGGTAAAAAGAATAAATACCCCCTCCGTCCCATTGAACTTTGCCAACTTCCATTTTTTATTGTACAAAAAAATTGCTACTCTCCCATTGAAGTAACTATTTTGTGATTCTACCTATTTCTCTCTCCTTTTGACAAACTACTACCACACGTTTTTTACTTTTCTTCTTTCTGGCCTAATTCAAATATGGGAAAGTTCAATGAGACGGAGGTAATATCAAATAAAAAGGATAAAAGGATAAAGAACATAAGAAAAATAAAAATGATAGAAAGAAATAAGATGACAATATATCAATCACCCACACAAATATTCACCTTTCACTTTGCCCTCTTCAAAGTCACAATCTCATCCAACCCAAGCAGAAGCATATCACTTCTCACTTCTCTAATCCATGTTTGTTTGGGGCTTCTTCTCTCTCCCCCTCTGCGCCTCTTCTTCCCACCTCTCAATTCGTCTAACTGGTGGATCATTTGGTCTTCTACGCACTTGACCAAACCATTACAATCGAGACTCCTGCATCTTATCTTTAATGAGTACTACTCCACCTTTTGCCTGATTATCTCATATTCAAGTGATTTTTTCTGGTATGTCCACACATCCAACGCAACATGTTCATCTCCGCCTCACTCATTTTTTGAATGTGACATTGTTTAATCGTCCAGTACTCTAACCATACACAAATGCAGATTTAAATAATATTCGATAAAATTTATCCTTCAAACTAGTTGGCATACCTTGATCACGTAGAAATCCTGATGCACTTTTCTATTTCATCCACTTTGTTCTGATTCTATGTGATACATCTTCATCGTGTTTACTGCCCTTCTAAATTATGGAGCCCAATATATGGAACATATCAATGACCAGTATCTCCTTGCCTTAGATAGGGTAATCCTACGATTACCACTGCTTTTTACTTCCATCAAACTTGCACTCTATACACTTAGTTTGAAACCCTTGGTCTCCAATGTTTTTCACAATATTTGTAACTTTGCTTTGACATTTGATTGTGTCTTATATATTAATCAATACAATTTCATCGACAAACATCATGTATCACGATACATCTTCTTGAATTGACTTCGTAAGTTCATCCATGACTATAGCAAACAAGAAAGAGCCCAGAGCCAATTCTTGATAGTAATAGGGAGCTTTGTACTCCTCCCTACACTAACATGAACACTTGTAGTACCATCTTCATACATATCCATGATGATGCTGATATACTTATGTGATATGCCTGTTCTGGTTAAGGCTCACCAAAGGACTTCTCGAGGTATCCTATGATATACCTTTTCTAAGTCAATGAACACCAAATGTAAACCATTTGTAGTGTTTCTATACTTCCCCACAACTTGCATAAGAAAGTGATTAACTTCGGTCATTGAGTGACCAAACATAAAATTGAATTGATTCTCTAAAATTTTCACACTTGGTCCCTTAAGAGTTGACAAATTATTGGACATCACCTTTATTCTTAAATTAAATAGGGGAATAAGAGTACTCTTCAGCCAAATCACTGTCGTTTTGATGTTTCTCAAGATCTTGTTCAAGAAACGTGTTAACTACTTGACGCCTCTTTCTCGCATTCTTTTTCAGGCCTTGATTGGTATGCCATCTGGATTTTGTGAGAACAGTCCTACGATCAAGAAGATGAGCAAGTATGTACATATCGTTTTCTTCTTTTTTAGAATCCAATTTTACATATAACACTTTGATCTCTTTCTCTCGTGCTTCCTTGTACCCCTCTATATTCTCATCGTTCCAACATTTGCCCAACTTTTTGTAGCAATCACTTTTGGCTCGTTTCACCTCATTATTCCACCATGAAATGTCTTTTTTGGAGACAAGCATCTTTTAGATTCTCCGAGTATCTCCTTTACCATTTCGTTAATGATCAACTCCATTGATAACCGCACTTCCTCTAGATGTGTGTCATTATCGATACATCATACTTCTTCGAGCAACATTAATGGTAATGAGAAAGTACTTATACTCGTAACAGATTTCCATTGTGTTTGGTTTTTAAATGTGGGTGTCCTAAACAACATAAAGGTTTATCTTTCTTCCACAATCCATGACCAAGCCAAAAAATATAACCTAAAATGGTGGCTCGTTAGATTTTTAAATACTAAACGGAGTATAGGTTGGCTACTTGTCACATGAAAATGCAAATTTTATAACGGAGTATGATGAAATAAATATTGTTGTGAGTTTAAAAATATTTCGGAATAATACTTCTATTTGGGTTAATAAAATGTAAAATTATCACACACTAGCAAAAACATAGTCAATAGACTTCATTATGCTCAAACAGTAACTCAGCCAAAAGTAGTTTAAAAGAGCTCCTAAATATTAAAAGATGACTAGTTCTAATGAGCCATCATTTTGAGAGAAAATTTAAAACGTTTCATATTGGGTAGATAACAATTAAAAAAATTAAAAATTAAAATTCAAATATAAGATTTTAAATTACTTTTCACCGTTGTGCAAAAAAAAAAAATACTTTTCACCGTGACGAGCTTTTAGAATATACTGCGTATGAATTCGAAACTCCATATGTCATAGAAGACCGGAGGGCATATTAAAATTCAAAGCAGATAGCATTAATTAATTTATTGGAAAAAGTACAAATGTACCCTTCTAGTACAAATATTCTTGTTCTAGTTTGTGAAACAAATATACATCTGAAGTTTATGTCAAAGTGCATATACACCCATGTACTTTTAATAGGTTCAAAAATACCCTTCATGTTGTTATAATGAGAAAAATAATTTCAAATACTCTAAACTTTGAAGGGGTGTGACGTAAATACCCCGAACTTGCATATGTAATTTTAATATCCCAAACTTTATATAAAGAGTTATGTTAGCACCATGAACATTTAATTTTCAATATAAATTATATGACCATAAATTGTAAATGAATATATGACCATGATGCTAGATTAACTTTATATGTAAAGTTTGGAGTATTTAAATTACATGTGTAAGTTGAGGTATTTACCTCACACCCATTCAAAGTTTGGGGTATTTGAATTATTTTCCCTTTCTTTTAATGGAGCAAATTTACTCTTATTACTTTAAAATAGACAAAAAATACAAAAAACACCAAAAAATAAATATTGTTAGTATAAATATGAAATTGAAAAATAAAAATAAATAAATATACTTGTATCAAGTTCTCCCTTTTATTATTTTTATATCACAATTCACAATTGTTATTATAAATATTATTTCAAACCTTTACTACATATTTAAGATTCTTTCGGAAAAATGTTAACTAATGTGTTGCAATGTTAAAAAAATCATTAATTTTTTGTACTCTTTTCACTATAAAAGTACATATTTTGTGTGATGATAAATAGTCCAAGAATGTTAAACAATGTAACAGTGTGTTCAAAATTTCGCAACATGACTAAAATTAATTTGACGTGCTTCCTTTACATCGGAAAAATAATAATTTTGCAATTTAAAATTGAAGAGTTAATATTTTAACATAAAAATAAATTTTTATTTTTAACTCTTTAATTTTTTTATTTTTCAATTTCGGATTTGTAATTTATTTTTTGTGTTTTTTAATTTTTATTTATTTATTTAAAGTCAATAAGAGAAAATCTGCTCCTTTATAGGAAGAGAGGGAGTATTTTTCACCTTTTAAAAGTTCAGAGGTATATATGCATCTCCACATAAATTTCAGGGGTGTATTTGTTTAAAAAAAAAACAAAACAAGGATTTAATTGTTTTGACACTCATACGACATGTTTTAAATTACTTTCCATCGTAGACGGGAGTACATATTAAATCTTTGGAGATTTTTTTTAAATCCAAAGCAGATAGTGTTAATTAAGTTATTAACGTAAAGTTGTGGTAAATTTTGAAAAGAGGAATTAAAAATGAATCGCATAGTATTAAATCATTACCCTTTTAGAAGTTACGAGAGATCTTATTTTATTCAGAAGTAATAACATTCGTTACCTTTGGGTGAATTTACATACTGCAGGAAAGTTGACAAGAATTTGAATCCAAGGGTTTGTCTTTGGACATTTTTTACAGCTCTAACAGGGTATGTTCTCTAGAGTACATCCATCTTTTATGTTTATGTTAATTTACTATATTTTGTATTGCATGTAAACATATAGATACGAGTAAAGAAAAGATAAGAGAGAAAATATGAATGTTTTCAAAAGAAACATGTACAAATGGTTTGTACTTTTCAAAATTCTAAAAGAATGACTATTTCATTGCCTGTGATATCGTATATGCATGTTTTAAAGCCATATCTCACAGTGATCAAGTTTTAAGTTACAATTTATCATATAAACATTTTTATACTACACATATCAAGTTAACTTTTTAAGTTGAAATATGAAGTCTTAATATGATATCAAGTGGAATTGAGTTCAAACAAATAACCAATCTAACTAGACCTCTGAAACATAAATATTACTCCCTTTGTCCCTGAATTTACTTCTGTAGTACAAATGGCACATGTATTAAGAATTGCTGTGAAACACAAATTCTTTGTCAAAAAGGGAAAGTGAAGTTCTTTTTGGGACGGATGAAAAAGGAGAGTTGGAAGTATTTTCAGGGACGCAGAGAGTAGTTGGAGCTTTTCCACTCTTACAATGATCACTTTTTGTCCATTTCAAAATCTACAATGATGTGCTTCATTGAGTCACCATTTTGTGGGCATGTTAAGTCATCATGCATTTACCCTCTTACAAAGTGTTAAATTAACCTTTCAGAGTGAAATTCTGAATCTTAATAACATCAGCCCTAACCGGCTGCCAACATCGCAAAATAAGAGGTTGATGAAAAATTGTGACAAATGTAAGATTACTTGGTCACTTTTTGAGAAATGCTTTAAGAATCCAATGGGACTTAATGGGGACTTGGTTGCCAGTTTTTTTAAATATGTGCTCCGTATAATATATATGCATGTATAAATGATTCTTCTATAAATATTTATTGATACAGGATAACATTAGGGATGGGATTATTCTATTATGGTCTCAAGGATACAAGTGCAACTTATGCTACCAACTTTAGCAATTTAATTCCTATAGCAACCTTCTTCCTTTCTGTTGTTGTTCGGTAAGTAAACGTTTGGTAATTAAGGAAATGGATGATATTTATTTTTAAATTTATGCTTATATTTACCTAGTAATAAATAAATAAATAAATAAATAGACTGAAGATGGTAAAGTAAAAAATAAATAAATTACTATTTTGTTATGATTGCCAACGTCTCTAGTTTCCATCTTTGACCATGACATTTATAATTGTGCATTTACAAAGTTTAACATAAACTCAAAGAACCATGTTATAACTTGATGTTTCATAAACTATAGGAATAATAGTCCAAAAATTTATAATTTTTGGTTTATATCTTTATATTTTGTGTTTGAAGGCTCAACTTTGCTCCAAGACGTTGAGCCATTGTTAAGGCTTATCAAGATCGAATTGCTCATTGTAGCTTAATCGGTTCTTATATAATATTTGAGGTTTCCCCTAGCTAAAAGATCAGCATGATAGTAGAGTAGTCCAAAGCTATGTATTTTGATTTGTATCTTTATACCTAGACTGTGTGGAATGACTTAATTACATAAGATTCCATGGTATAGTAATCTAATATAATGGTGTCATGGTCAATAATTAGAGTAAACAAAAGTTGACTCTACATATCAAAATTGAGACTTTAAAATGGAAGAAAAGTAATGTTTAATTAAACAAGTGTTAGTCTCAATATCAATCATCAATCATACAATATAATAGAAGGAGAGAATCACAGAATGATAGAAAAATATTTGAACGATGAACTCCCTCTTCCTTATACCGTATAAGCTCTCAGAAAGATATGCGTGAATAATATGTGAGACTTGTGAAAGTTAGGGTTTGCTTAAGTTAGCATCCTTTTATACATAAGGATGTCTAACTTAAGGCTTACAAGTGGGTTAATGGGCTGAAATACATTTGTGGCCCATATTACACATTTAATTAATAACTACACAAACATAAAGATATTTAATTAGATTGGACACCATAAAATATGCCCAACAATCTCCCCATTGGTGTTCAATCGTGTTGAATCAGCATTGCAGTGCAAATATCTTTGTCTTTGTTGTTATTCATCTTCTTTTGTCTTTGAACTTGACTTCTTGAGAAGGCTTTATGAAGAAATCATTGCAATCTCCCCTTTGATGTCTTCTTGGCAATTTGATCTTTGATGTCGGGGGTTGAGGAATCTTTTGCTTGTAATCCTTGCCTTCAAGAAGTAGCTCTTGATCAGCTTGAATGAACTCCGGTGGCGCCTCTAGAATGATGGTTCTGATGGTTTTGCAGGCGCGCACGAGATTCATCTTCAGTACGCGAGTATCTGACCTTTGTCTCCTCCACGGTTGCACAGCGGAAAATGATGATTGACTTGTGAACGTAGCTGACCATTTGATGTGAAGCTGACTTTGTAGTTGATGCTTTGAGAGAATAGAGAGTCATCATTTTTTTGTGTTGGAGGAGAAGTGTCCAAGAATGATTTTTTTAGAGTAAACAACATGCGGACCACTCTCCCCTTCATGACGATGCGATGAATCGGGACGTCATGTCTTTATTCTTTTATTCTGGGTAACAAAATAGAAAAACAAAAAGTAAGGTTAAATGATAAAAACCGAATACACTGAGATGTTCCGTTAACACAACATCATTGTAAAGACTGATTTGTGGCCTGTAAAAAAATGATAGAAACATTAAAGCTCTAACATGTCTTCCAACCAGTTATTGTGTGACATCCAAAGTAGATGTCACTCTGGTTGTTATGGCATGATCATAAAGATCAACAAAGATAACGTAGCCCCCCGGGGTCGTGTAGACACCCGTTATCATCACTATAGAGATACACTCTAAAGCGATGGCCTGAACATGTTGGTGATTTCTATGCTGCAACAGCAGGACTTCCTTCCAATCATTGGTCTTCATCTATAGTAGATGAGCCCTATGGAAGTTCTCGCGGGTCATGAAGACCTGCAACTGACTCTAAAAAGTGTCTGTCCTAGAAATTCAAAACATTTGGGAGTGAGAGAACTAGACACGACGTGATCAATGAATGTTCAGTGGCGTGGGGCTGTGGGCCACTGTAATCAGTATCAGTCGCCTCAGAAGGAGACGGTGATGAGAGATGAGGTTCCCCGTGAAATATGATTAAACACTTGTCTGTTGGGAGGCAAATGAGTGGTCTAGGGTATGGTTGTGCATGCGCCGTTTGGACAAAATGCAACGACTTCTACCCGGGATCTGAATAAATTCAGTCCTGAACCTATGGGGATTGTCCAGAGTATTTGAGTGACTGAGAGTAATTTTCTCAATTGATAGCACAATAGAGGTAGCTGATTTGAAAGTGATTATTGTTCTCTTGCTCACTTGAGCTTTCTGCTTCTTCACTCTCATAGTGTTCACTCAACTACTCACTCACTCTCGGCTTTGTCCCTTGGGTAGGCTTAGTTGGGTTTACTAAGCCATTAGGACTTATCTCTCATTTTTCTTTGATCTTTTCTCTCTGTGCTCCCCCTCAACTGGAGCATTCGGTAGGATGCCTTTTACGATGATTGGCACTTGGGAAGAGAACTTTGAACCCCCCCTTAAAATCTGCATCCTTGAGAGAATCCGTGCATTTTACATTGTCTAGCACCAGGAGGAAAAAAATAAAAATTCCCCCTCAAAAGTTGCAAGTATTGGTTTTTGTTACCTGGGGAGTAAAGTATAAAACTCCCCCTTGGAATGTGGTTTCTTTGTTGTTTGGCTCCAGGAGGAGTGAAAAAAAAAACTCCCCCCTCAGAATAAGCACTTGTTGTTTGTTCTTGGCGTGTGTCGGTGTTGAAGTGTGCATTTCTTGATTTTCTGCTCAGTAGAGAGTATACACGCCAGTACTCTCCCTCATAATGTGCACCATTTGATTGCTCACGGCTCGTCTTCATACCCGCCATGTGTGTGGAGCAATCGGATCACTTACCACACATGACGGACCATCAACACAGATTAAGTATGTGTCGGTACCCACCTCCAGATGGGTCCTTCCTTGTCACCACTGAAAAACCGTTTCAATTTCTGTTTGATTTGTGATCCTAGGCTAGCTGATTGAGAAGAGTCTAACATTCTTAATTTCTCAGCTTCAGCCTTAGGAACCCATTGCAATTTGATCTTTGGAGCAGGAGAGGTTTCACTAGCAGTGAGTGAATGTTCAGACAGATAGTCTTTTAAGATTGTTTCTTGAGAGAGTCTTCTCAAATGTCTGAGTGAGTAAACTTTGAGGGGATACTTTAAACATGGTAATTGATACCCCTCCCCCCCCCCCTCAATATTTACTTTAGCGGAAGCTGATTTCTTCGGACATTTCTGAACATTCCTCTTCTTATCTTGGTTGGAGGAGACATCAGATTCAGAGCAGCAAGTTTTTACTGGCTTAACACAGTTCAGAGTAGAAGAGCTTGAGCAGTTATTCTTAAGAAATGTCTTCTTTTTGGCATAGAAGCGAGCACTTGAACACCAGTTCCTACTCCTTAGACGAGATTCTTCTTCCTTCCTTCCTTCTTCTTCTTAACTTGTCCTCTATCCATTCTCCTCTCCTCACTCTCCTCTTCACAGGGGCCCTTATCGGTGAAGGTGACTCAGAGTGAGAAGTGGAAGTTTCAGGATCATTTGTAGATTTTTCAGAACAGTTCTCAGAAGACGGAGTAGAAGGAGAAGCACAGTTTTCAGATGATGGAGGAGAAGGAAATTGTGAGGTTGTGCTTGATTGAGAGGATGTTTGGAGCAAAGATATTTCATTCAAGAGCTGTTCTCTTTCCAGTTCAAAAGCTTGTTTTTCTTTATCAAAAGCTTATTTCAATTCAGCAAACTTTCTCACAATGGGTGGAATGTATGCTGGTTTGGCTACAGGCTCTGAAGTTGAAGGTTCCTCTTGATCTTGCACAGTCTCTTTTGCAGGGTAAAAGGTTGGAATCTCTTCAGGAAGAGTCAACGGTGGCTCTTTTGTTTCATAACTCTCGTTCAAGGCAGCATAATCAAAAGGAATTTTTGTTCCGAGATTAGCTCTCTTGGCATCTTCTTCATCATTCGTTTCTTTAACACTGAGGAAAGACATCAACTTAGTCAGTCCAAGACCCATATAATTGATGTCATACAGTTGAGCACAGTTCACCTTCTTCAAATTACATGGATTAGACAGTCCGAGTCCTTCTTTAGAATTATAGAAACGGGTGTCTTTGGGTTGGTTCAAGAAGATTGTTTGTTCAGTCTGCCCCTTTGTAGCAAGTAAGTCTTCAAGATCTTTGATCTTGCGGTAAAGGGCACATCTTTTATTTTGAAGAAACTCGTTATCAGTTTTTGTTGTGCTTAGCTCTATCTGGGTCTGATTCAACTCCTTTGTTAGATCAGCTATTTTGAGAGTCAGCCTCTCAGTTTCCAAAGTTATTTTATTAACCTCTTCTTTGGAATTGTCCAATTGTATACTCAATGAGGTGGACTTATCCAGATGCTTCAGTAGGACTTTGTGATTATTGGCTAATCTCTCTTCCAATTCCTTAATAATTTTGTCCTTATCTTTTGAAGAATGAGTTTGACAAATACATGAACAAGGAGATATATCGTCCATTGTTGTTGATTGTTGAATGTCGACCGTAGACGTGAGGTTGATTGAAGTTTCGGCAATTTTCTGGACCTTGAAATGGTTTGGACCTTGAGAAAAAATAGTCTTAACCTTGAGAGATTTTTTTTTTACCTAATTAATTAATTAATTAATTAATTAATTTTTAATCTCAAGGTTGACTCTTGGAAGCTTTGATTGTAAGGTTGACCTTTGGTGTTGAAGATTTGAGCTCAAAAATTGAAATGGGCTCAAAATTAGCTCTTGAAGTGGGAGTTTTATAAAAAATGTACTTATCCAAGAGAAGGAGAAAAGGAATCTTTTTAACAATCCCACATCTAAACTCCTTGGGAACTTTAGAGCATATAAATAGGAACCATTCCTTCCTTAGTAGTAAAAGGTGAAGGAGAAGAGGGGAGCTCTCGCGCACATGGGATTTCGGCTTTCAGTTCAAAATCGAATGCTGCAAAATTTAGCAGGTCTCAAAAGACAATGTTGCCCCTCCTTTTTTTCGCACCTGGACAATCTCGAGATATATATATATATTTGTTTTCGCAAATGTCGAGCTTCCAAATCTCGAGAATGTCGAGATTGCAAATCTCAAAATTGCAAATGTCGAGATTGCAAATCTCGAAATCCAAATGTCGAAATCCTGCAAAATCAAAACTTCGAGTTTTGAAAATCTTAAAACTGTTCTGAGTAGCTCTTCATCTCGAGATTCTCCTGTATAAATTTCGATTCCAAATCCTGTGAAACACCTGGACACAAGTTGATCTCGAGATCTTGACTATAGAGATCTCAAAAACCAAAAACTCACGCAAAAAAAAGATATATTGCTTGATCGTTTCGAGAACGCGATTCAAACAGTATAACTTTTACAACGTTTCAACCAAACAAGATTACACAAGCTAGAACTCAAAAATACAGATAAAAACACAAAGGTCATTTCAGAAAATTGCAGATCCGAAAAATCGCAGATGGATTCAATCTGTTTCACGCTTCGGCTCTGATACCAAATGTTAGTCCCAATATCAATCAACAATCATACAATATAATAGAAGGAGAGAATCACAGAATGATAGAAAAATATTTGAACGATGAACTCCCTCTTTCTTATAGCGTATAAGCTCTCAGAAAGATATGCATGAATAATATGTGAGACTTGTGAAAGTTAGGGTTTGCCTAAGTTAGCATCCTTTTATACATATGGATGTCTAACTTAAGGCTTACAAGTGGGCTAATGAGCTGAAATACATTTGTGGTCCATATTACACATTTAATTAATAACTACACAAATATAAAGATATTTAATTAGATTGGACACCATAAAATATTCCCAACAATAAGAGATAACATTTCTCCATAAAACATCAACTAATATGAAGGCCGTGCAAATATTTAAAAGTAATTTTAAGGCCGTGCAAATATTTATAGTCTATGACTAGTTACAAAAGAGAAATAGTGGTATTGAGAAAAATCAAATGTTCATATTCTCTTTTTCTAATATCCCATAATCAAACAAGTTATAAGTACCTTTTTATTAACAACTAGCGATTATCAACTTAAAAAAATATTTTTACCTTCTTTTTATTATCAATTAGCACTTTAAGAATATTTCTTGTGATCACTGTACTACAGAATGGAGACTCTGAAATTGAACAATCGATGGGGGCGATTCAAAATAGTTGGCGCATTCCTCTGTGTTGGAGGAGCTTTGGTTATTAGTCTGTATAAGGGAATATCATTGCCGTTCTTTCATCTAAACTCTCATCATAAGGCGATTACATCAATTGTAAGCAAAAGAAGTCAACATTGGATACGTGGCACCATTTTGTTGGTTTCAAGTTGTGCCGGTTATGCCCTATGGTTTATTGCACAGGTATGATTTATAAATAGAAGTGTGTCATCCTATTGGAGAAGAGTGTGGATAATACTCACTCTTGTGGAAATTAATATGCACATAAAACTAACCAAAATCAAAATGAATAACCAATAAGATGAGTTATTTCCAAATTTGATTGTAATATGAAATATAGCAACCATAGTCTCTGGTAAGACAATTAATTCCACGTTTTACTATGACATGGAGTATAGCAACTATGGGTTACGTTAAGATTTGGGGTTCCATCCTAAAAGGTCAACCTGATAGAGGAGTAGCTCAAAGCCTCATATAGTGATTTATTGTTTTTGTAGCTTTTCGGTATGGGACAAATATTCTAACACGCCCCCTCAGCCCGAACCAGTCTGGACAATATCAGGTGTATAAATGGGCCAAACAGGCCCTTAACAAGCTACCCGTAATCATGGGTGCTAAACAAGCAGTCAAACCACAACCGGAATTGACTCTGATACCATGTTAAGACTTGGGGTTCCATCCTAAAAGGTCAACCTGATAGGAGGAATAGCTCAAAGCCTTGTATAGTGATTTATTGTTTTATAGCTTTCCGGTATGGAACAAATACTCTAACAGTATATTTAGTAGCGCATAATAGAAATCTATAAAATTATAGAACTCGATCTTGCGTGTTGTTTCAAATTAAGCTTTAAAAGTGACCAAACAATTGATTTTGTCCCAAACTAAGTGAAAGTAACTATAAAATGTCCGACTTAATAAATTCGGTATGCTTTATAGTTGTATTTGTAAAAGTCGGAATGAAATTTACCAATTCAATATCGACTTAATCTAACCCATGAACGCCTCTAACTTTCTATGGTATTACATGATTGTTGATAAATTAACGCTTTTACTCATGTTAAGATTATTTTTGCCCCCTCTATTAGGCCCGCTTGCTAAAGGTACTCCCATCAAAGAATATGGGAAATCTTCTGACATGCGTGACAGCATCAATACAAACAGCAATTTTGGGTATATGTTTGGATAGAAGTGGGAATTCATGGAGTTTAGGTTGGAACGTGAAGTTAATCAATGTTCTTTTCTCGGTAATTTTTTACACTACTTCAATCTTTTTGCATTCATTAAAAAAATTATTATTTATGTTAAAGTATTAATCTCACATTGATTTGGTATAAAATAAAAAACTAATATGCTCTATGTCACATCAGATATTGCATGTTTTGGCTTACCCATGAAATAAGATACCAAGAATATCATTATTGAGAATTCTATATAGTAGAGACAAATAAAAAAACAACAAATTATATATTTAAAAAAGAAAGTGTCAAAAATTTTAGGACAATAAAAAAGGAAAGTTGGCAACGTTTAGTGAAATAGAGGAATAAAAAATAATTAGCTATTACATATTTTTTTTATAAAATATCCTCATATGAAAATAAAATAGATGTCTTAGTACACCAACTTTGAGATATGCTCAATTTACATCTCTACTAGAGTACTAGTTCCCTTTAGTGGAGCTTGATCGAAATAGAATGATTGAGATATAACAAGAGTTATTGATTTCACTTGATTTTTTTGGTAACACTGAAATTGGTTGAATTAGCTGATTCTGCTGAAATTTATGAAGTTTTAATTGAAGTGACTGTATTGGTTGATTCTGCTGATATATGAAAAAATTGTATTTAAAATATTTGTTATTAATTAATCAAATACAAAATTATATGAAAAATAGCTAAAATGATCCTCTACAGTAACTTCAGCCAATACAATCAGAAAAGTAACTTGAACCTTACTTTTTCTTATTATTTCACAATTCAACACGTGAAAACAAAAATTACGTGTTTGGTGAAAAAGTTGGCTAATAAGCCTGTTTAGTCAAAAAAAATGTGCCACCAAACGGGCTCTAAGTTCTAATCATATGTATCTCATTATTCAAATACCCTAAGTGATATATAATGAAGTGTTTTTTAAGGACAATGATTATTTGTATTAACACACAAAAACATCGTCGACTCACCTAGATAAATTCTCCTTATTGAAACTCAAATGCATATCTAATGGTTACTTTACTGTACTAATGCTGAATTGTAATAGGGTGCATTGGCTTCTGCGGCGTCATTCTATTTGATTATTTGGGCAGTTGAAAAGAAGGGGCCAACTTATCCCTCAATGTTTGATCCTCTCTCTGTAGTGTTTGTAGCTATTATTGAAGCTATCTTCTTTGGCGAGGATTTCACAATTGGAATGTAAGAATTATGTGTCATTTAGAACTTTTTTACACCATGTTAATATCCATAATTCCATTTAAAACTTTTTTAGTTCATGTTGATATTAGAGATTTCATCGTAAAAAAGGTCAACCTCATAAGAGAAATATTCTAGTCTCTTAATATATCAGTCCATGATTCCTTATAGTGTTTTATTTTATTATATCATTCCAGTGTTGGATAAATGTTTTAACACGCCCCCTAAGTCCAAATCGGGCTGGAAAATATCGGAGTGTATAAAAACAGGCCAAATAGACACTTAAAACATTGTCCTTGATCATGAGTGCCAAACAACAATTAAACCACAACGGATCTAGCTCTGATACCATACTAAAGTCACGTGTAGCAACTAATATAATAACTTTGAAGTAATTGAGGTATAACCTTTTATGTAAATCCATTCAATAAAAACTACTTAACATTTAATTATTTTATACAAGGAAATAATAATGTATACATATAAATATGTTAGTTATACATAATGAAGTTAACAAAATGGAAACATTGAAAATATATATTTTCACATAATATGGTTGTAACCTATTCACAATTTTAATCAATAATATAAAAATGTGAATAGTATTTATATTGATAGTTTTACATATTTTTATGAATGTAATAGGTTACAGCTTAGTTCTCATACATTACTAATCATCTTGATTATGAACTCACAAACTAACACATATATATACAATGGTGCAGCTTGTTAGGAATGATACTCATGATTGCTGGATTGTACAGTTACTTGTGGGGGAAAAGAGGCGAGTTAAGAAACAATTCAACCATCAATGTCACGATATCAAGTGCTAACAAAGAAGTTGTTGGTTCTGTAGCAAGTCTTGACGTTTGAAATGTTTTGAACCATTTTTAGTTGATTATGTAATGTTCAATGAATGAAAAGTTAATTTTGTGTGTGTGCCTAAAAACAACAAAAGATATTATCTAATTGCAAAAATAATTTGTGAATATAATAACAAACTATAAAAGTGGACATAAACAACCGTAAAATAAAACCTAAAAGGGTTAATTGCAACAACATTACAATTGAAATTGCCATTATGTTCGGTTAAGATTTAGAGTTTTGTATGAAAAGTTCAACTATATAGGAGAAGTTGATAAAAATCTTATATATTTGTTTATTATTTTATATTAAATATGTGTTAGGACGGATACTTCGCCATGTCCCTAGACATATCTTATATCATGAGTGCAAGAAATAATCAAATCACAATCAAACTTAGCTCTCATATTGAAAAAAGCCTTTTGTACACACTTCACTGTTGTACACACTTTTACACACGTCTGTGAAGACTTTTTTGTCTGTCACAGACAAAATAAATATGTTTTGCCTGTCACGAGAATTGTTGTCAGATTAATAGAAATTCAGGCAACCACGATCAGTAGTCTCTACCCCCAAAAGACACCTTTAGAAAGAAAGGTTGTGAGTTGTGACCCTCCTTCCAAAACTACAAAAGATTATGTCTATTGTCAAGTCTTATCCTAAAATGGAAGCAAAAATATAAATATTATCTTTGAGCCATATACACGGGCAGACGACGATGACGGTGCGGGACAAGTCCTACATGAACATTGTTATAGAGAGAACTCTGTGGGAGAATTTCACATTCATTTCAAAATGGTTATCTACAAATGATATATGAAAATGTTCATCTTATGAAGTACAATATGTCAGGGCTTAGTCCTATTGAAATAGAGATGTGGGTCCCTTACGTATTTTAGCTCCCAATGACCAAAAGATTAATGTGTAAAACCATTTTTCAACATAACGTTTTTTTAAATATTATCTCTAGCAAATTAATGTGATCCTCAATGCGACAAGAAGTGAAAAATTAAAAATAAATTTTATGAATGTGTATCATATTATAAGAATTAACTACTAAGTAGAATAAGTAGAAATGGCCATCGAGAGGATCAGGGACAGTTATGTGTATAAGCGTACATGCTCGTCGAGTAATTTTCTTGTCCGTAGCGGGTCATTTTTATCCAAACCACAACCGCTCAAACAAATAACTATATCCCGAGTAGCCATCCCCTTAAATGGTTCATGGATGTTTTAATATGAAATTAATATTTTAAAAGATGAAAAAACAACATCAACTAAATGACTCTTAGTGTGAGATGCCACTTAAAAGTCGATCTCATGCAACTAACATTAATACAAAACGCAAAAGAGAGGTGCATGGCTAGGTAAGGTTGGGAGATGAGGTATCGGCGACTCAAAAAGCGAAAGATCTCATTTTTAGACATGTGGCAAATAATAGATAGAAATGAAATCGAAATATAATTAATAATAAATGGGACTAGTACAGGACAGAAAACGAGGTTGGGCCAACATTAACAATAATTTAGGAATAATATTGATAACACAATCACTTTAGAGGTAAACAATAAACAATGAAACATGATTCTCTATAAGTGAAAAATAAAGATTGTGTAATAAATAACTAATTGATAGTTATATTGGTAAGTCTCTTAGATGTGGAATTAGAGAATATGGTTTTGTATGTCACTTTCAAGTATATCATACTCCCTATCATTCAAGGTAGTAGATGATTTTAGGAACACTTGTAAAAATATTTATTTTGATATTTGAAAATGTTAATTATGTATAAATGGGTATTATACTTGTAACAGAAGACCAATAATGAATTTATTAACGTAAGATGTTTTTACTTGAATTTATTACAATCTTGAATCATACTTCGTATAAGATTTAAACAAATCAAATCACACCCGACTTAAACAGACCAAACTAGACTTTGACAATTATAAAATACACATGGATTAGATTAGATCAGACTTAAATCGACGAGACTATAAAATTTCAGTCCAATTTAAAACATCCTAACTTCGATTTACTAATTTTCTTAAATACATCCATCGTTTTCAATCAAAAATTGAATGGGTCTTTTCCTTGAATATTACTCCCTCCGTCCCTCTTTTTTTCCACATTTATTTAAATCGAAACCTCCCTCCGTCCCTCTTATATTGTCCCGTTTTACTTTTTCGGGAAGTCCCACTAAAATTGTCTCATACCATATATGGTAAAGTTTGTGTGGTTCTAAATCATTCTTACTTTATTCTTACTTTATCAATTAATATCAACCACACAACCCCACTTTTCTTAGTAATCGTGCCACTCTCTTCCGACCCAATATAAGAGGGACGGAGGTAGTACTAAATTAAAGCTGATTTCCAAAAATGTGACCATTTCGGTTAAGAAGGTCAAATATTTGGAAAAACATGACATCACTGCAAAAAATTTATGTCACTGTCAGGTTTTTATGTCACTGTCAGATTTTTATGTCACTGTAATGCGTGATTACCAGATTTTATGTCACTTTTGAATGTCACTACCGGTTTTTATGTCACGTTCGGATGTAACAGCCGCCGTGAAACATGTCACCGTGTTAACTGCATAATTTTTTGACCACTTTTTCTGGCAAAACAATGACATCCACAACTGACTAGTGACCATCCCACACCGCCGACACCACCATCCCACTACTACTTTCATATCTTGTAGACCGCCCCGCCCATACCCCTACCCATCAACACACCCCACACATGCCCTCCACATTGCCCCTTCCCCGCCACACGACCAACTCCGCCCCCCTCTCGCCACCCAACCGCTGCTGCACCCCAACTCCGACTACCCTAACCAACCCCAATCCACTCCTTAGCTCCCAGCCCAAGCCCACCACCGTCCACTGCCTGACCCAAACTGACCGGGTCAGATCTTGCCGTCTGCAACCAAGTCGGACCAGTCAACGCCCAAGGAGGCGCAACCCTAGCGGAAGCCTCGCCCTTGAAACCCTAATCATTGTCATCTTCGTAGACATAGTTGCGGAGGTCGTTGCTAGGAAGATGCCAATCCTCATCGCCGACTAAAGAAAGAGAAGAAGATGGCGAGCGGAAGCGATACAACACCCAAGAGAGAGAGAATATTAGCTAGTCAGATCCGGTGGCGTCAAGGGAGTGATCCATGTCGGGGTAAGGTATTAGGGATGACTCACTTTTCCGGAAACTAGCTAATGAGTCATATTTTTGAAATCTAAATGATTATGGACAATAAACGGGTCATTATTTCAAATTGAATCTGATAAAGTATATGTGTAGTATATGGACTATGGAATTCAATAAAAGTATATGAATATATGATGATAATTTATATTTATATTATTTGGAAGAGTAACTACTAACTACCGCTGTAGCATATGCCTATGTGCCTACTTATTAGGAATATAAATATCTACGTATGTACAAAACAGAGTAGAAAAACTACTCAAATTCCCGCTCAAATAATAATTAGATGATAATCTTTGGGTAACTCATAAAGTGGCTTTGCCCGTCCAAAAGTTCAAGACATACATATCCTTTGGATAATGGCAAACTACGCGCTCGCTGCAAGAAAGTAACCAGTCAAATATTTATTAGTACTTAGTCCAAGTGATGTGAAAGTTGTCACGGCCATCTAGCCGACCTAGCTTTCAATGGCCATTGTTAATTCTTGAGCTACGTTTGGTTAATAGCGGGTTCGCTTCAATCTTCCGTTTTTTCAAATGAAAACGCTGCATTTTGCAGCGGTTTGCTCCGAATCCGCCAAAAAACAAACATGACCTTGGTCTCTTTAATTTGATTCCTTTTCTTGGTATCACTACACATACGAAGCACGTAGTACGTAATATGTACACAGGCTAAAGGGTCAAATAGGCCCCCTGTACCGGTTGTATAAGCTCAATTCAGACCCTGAACTAAAAAAGGTCCAATTCGCACCTCGAACCGGCAAAAAATGGTTCAAATTTCATTTTTTACGGGTAACCAACCAGTCACCCGCCACATAACCGGTCTAATTTCCACATGTGCATCTGAAGTTGAAACCAAAAGCTCAAATAAACCCCTGAACCCATCACAGTTGATCAAATCACCCCCTAAACTATTAGAAAGCGACAAAATTGTAATAAATCAAAAATAAAAAAACCGAAACAATATAAATATAAAAAAATATAAATATAAAAAATTTAAAAAATGAAACTTAAGTTTAATTTTAGACGTTTTATTCATACTTTATATCTATGTTTTTACATCAATATTTTATTTAAGATTTCATTTTTATTTTTGATTTATTACAATTTTGACACTTTCTAATAGTTTAGGGGTGATTTGATCAACAGTGACGGGTTCAGGGGCTTATCTGAGATTTTAGTTTCAACTTCCGATGCACATGTGGCAATCAGACCGGCAACATGGCGGGTAACCGATTGGTTACCCGCAAAAATGAAATTTGAACCTTTAGCCTATGTATATATAGATCGAGGTGCGAATTGGACATTTTTTTAGTTCAAAGACCGAATTGAGCTTACACGACCTGTACAGGGGTCTATTTGAACCTTTAGTCTATGTATATATAGATCGAGTAGGCTGACACGTGATTGCTCATTATCAAGTGAATGATCGAGCATATACTAATATCCCATCACCTGCCGTGGATTAAACTTTGGATGAAAGGTATCGGCTGCTTCCACCTTTTCTGCTTAAAACCTTATTTATAAAACTTCATTACTGATTTTGAATAATTTGGATCCCGTTTGGTAACACTATAATCAGTTGAATCGGCTTATTATGCTAAAAGTTATGAAGTTTTGGCTTAAGTGGTTTTATCGGCTGATTCTGCTAAAAGTTATGAAGTTTTGGCTGAAGTGGTTTTATTGACTGATTTTATGAATTAATTATATTTAAAATATATTTTATTAATAAATTAAAGAAAAAATTATACGAAAAATAGCTAAAATAGTCATCTAAGTAACTTCAGCCAATACAGCTAGAAAAGTAACTACAATCTTACTTTTTTTATTACTCCGCGTGCGAAATCAAAAGTTACGTGTTTGGTTAAAAAATTAACTGGTAAACCTGATAAGCTGAAAAAAGAGTCACCAAACGGGTTCTTAATTTCAAAGGCAAGTA